ACCCGAAACCCTAAACGTAGAAAATCTCAAAAAACGAAACGTCAACTGAAAAAATGTCGCAATTTTTGTATCTTTTCGGCCACATAAATGATATCCCCCTTGCTTTTTGTCCCAAAAACAATATCCAGCTTGACCCGGTGTCAGCTGTGCCGAGCCCTGTCCACACGTCCTTCAACCCGCTCAACCGGGTTTCTATATAAGCTTTTGAATGCTATTGCTTTGTTTGGCATGCAAATTAGAAAAGATCGCTTTCAAAGTCAAAAACAGTTTAAAAGTTTACTTTCATGCGAAATCGGCGCCAAAAAGTGGCAACTGCTCAAATCCCCAATATTCTAAGGTTGCACTCAATGCATTGAAAAGATCTTTACCTAGAGATATAGCGCTTTCAAATATATAGTGATATATAGTGGTTCTATATACGCTAACTACTTTTTTACTACGTGGAACTTTATCAAATGCTTAGCTCCAAGTAAATAACATCCGTGTTTAGTCCACTTTCTATGATAGTCACTCTTTATGGTGTCAACTCGCAATATGTGAAAAATTCCTTCTACTCAAAATCACCAAATGGTAAAATACTTGGAACTAGCTGGCTTACCCGGCTCCGCCGTATCCGGACCAAACTTGGCACACATACACTTCGGGCCCCGGCGGGTGTCACAGCCCACTTTTCGTTATGGATCGATGTCGATTTTACCGATTTTTATCGATTTTTTTGCAGAGTTCACGTACAGGGCTCCGAATACAATATTAGTTTTTAAAATTATCGATTACTTTTATTGATTTTATCGATTTTTTGTAAATTTTGACATGCGAGGCTGGGATTTTGCACAGGGGGGTAATCGGGCATGCTGATTACGAACACAGTATTAGTTTTCAGGATCGTCCATTACTTTTGTCGATTTTATCGATTTTTTTGTAAAGTTTGACCTGCGGGGCTGGGAGTTTGCACAGGGGGGTAATCGAGCATGCAGATTACGAATACAATATTAGTTTTCAAGATCGTCCATTACTTTTATCGATTTTATCGATTTTTTTGTAAAGTTTGACCTGCGGGGCTGGGAGTTTGCACAGGGGGGTAATCGAGCATGCAGATTACGAATACAATATTAGTTTTCAAGATCGTCCATTACTTTTATCGATTTTATCGATTTTTTTGTAAAGTTTGACCTGCGGGGCTGGGAGTTTGCACAGGGGGGTAATCGAGCATGCAGATTACGAATACAATATTAGTTTTCAAGATCGTCCATTACTTTTATCGATTTTATCGATTTTTTGAAAATTTGAGCTAGGGGACTGGAATTTGGCACAGGGGTGTAATCGAGCATGCTGATCACCCCCCTTGGGGTTGATCAGCATGCTCGATTACCCCCCTGTGCCAACTCTCAGCTCCCTAGCTCAAACTTTGCAAAAAAATCGATAAAATCGATAAAAGTAATCGATAATCCCGAAAACCAATATTGTATTCGGAATCCCCATGCTCGATTACCCCCCTGTGCCAACTCCCAGCCCCGTAGGTATTTTTTTGGTGAACTCACCAAAAAATCGATAAAAATCGATAAAATCGATATCGATCGATGACGAAAAGTAGCCTATGACACGCGCCGGGGCCCAAAGTGTATGTGTGCCAAGTTTGGTCCGGATCGGTTCAGAAATGGAATTTTCTATTCGGAAAATACGTACACACAGACAGACAGACATACAGACATACATACAAACAGACATTCAGCTTTATATATAAGATGGATAGCTTATAGCCCACTGGTGATGCTCAGCATTATTCGGTGGGTTTCACTTTTATCACTGACATGCGAAAAGCATGACTCACATCACTTTTTGTGATGTGAGTGTTAGAACAAAGACCTTTCTGATGCAGAAGTAGGAGGGAATATCTGTGTAACACTGCGAGCCTTTGCGAAGCAGAGGTGACGCGATGGTAACTGTTAAACTGCTGAGATGATACTGTGTTCGTGTACAGGTTTGACAGCCGTTTTCACGGCGCTGCGCTTACTGTTAGCTACCCATTTTTTGCTCAAATCAAAGCATTGTTTGTTCTATATTAGGACTTCTACTTCAACAAAACCCAAACGATGAGATTGAAAGCCAGCCAGGATTATGTTTATCGCGTCTTTCGCTCGTATTGTTTATGTTTCCAGCAATACAGGCTTTGCCTGATCAAGTCGCTGAGTATACGACCATTCTCATTGATTCCTCAGTTCTTTTTTTCCCTTTAAACGCTTTTCTCCATCAAGTATTAGCTTTCAGAAAGCTAAAGCGATTTTGAAGAGCATGATGGTTGTTCATCTGTTTTGAGCCCTTGTGGCATCCTGCTTGAGCAATGGTCGCGAATTCACCAGGCTTCACGACATGGCGAAGCCCTTTATCACTCAGACATATGACGACGAACAAGCTCAAATCTTTTTGTGAAAACTACGACCTTCAAGCTTGTGAACCATGTATTAATCATTCGCCTATGGTTCCTCTCACAAAAATATCGGGGTTGTGCCGTAGGTGCGATAGGTGGAGCATTCTCTGCCACTCTTCGGGCCGGCATCTGGATGAGCCCTTCAGCTGAGGTTGAGACAAGGGTCAAGGCATAACGGCGGAATAAAACACCTGTGACAAAGATGCACACTTTGTTTGGGACCGCCAGCTGCTGCTTCATAAACAAAGCATGATATGACTGCATTTTGACAGCGTTTGCTGAGAAAAAGGCAAGCTTGAGACTTCCTGTTTCACTCAAAGTGGTTTACTTTTGATAGCGAAACAAAGCTATGAATTTGAGGGGTGTGTGATTCTTTGAATAAGCAACTGTTTAATGAATATACATTGTCGGAAAGAAAATGCAGGACTAGAAAGTCTGGTCTGCCCAATTATGGATGCATGTTCACTGAAAAGAATCGAATTATATCCTTTTTTCATTGAAGAGCAAGATAGAATATAAGGGAGCACTTAGACTCCCCAAGTTTAGAGCTTCCCATTCACATGCGAACCCTCGGAAAAAACCTTTCGTTTCAAAATAAAGCAGAAAATAGTTCATAGAATTAGCTGATATTGTCTAGATAAAATTCCTCAAATCTCGCTTCGCACAACAGCTAGAAAAAAAGAGATAGTCTAGGTCGATGTATAAACTGTTGGTGCATAAAGCTCCCGCTCCAGAAAAGTCTTGCTCCGGCGATCAATGAGAGCCAAGCCACGGAGGGGCGGGGTGGAGCAGGCTAAAAATATCTCCACCCCATTTTTTATGAGCCGCAAGTTTTTTCATCTGATAATCCTCATACATTTAGAAAGCTCACGAAACGGGGATTCAACGCAGATAGTCTCTTTTTTTTTCTTAGCGTTCCTCTACTCGGAGATACATGCCATTCAAGCTAAAAGCTGTTTGCGTGTTTTTGTAAGGAAATTTCTACGCAAAGGATTAATGAAGACGCGTGATTGTCTCACTGTATTACAGAGCAAGACCTTGCCAGTAAACGTAGACCGTCTCTTCTTCCCAGCTTTCCTCTTCCTTTCAGAAATGGGGCGCAAGGCGATCGCATAAAATCAGCTGAAGCTCCAGCTAGATAAAAAAATTTTATATCTCAATTCACAAGAGAGCTGAAAAAAAAAAGACAATCTACGTCGATTCTACATGTCCCAAGCTTTTAAATGGCATGTCAACTGACCAGACTCAAACTCTTTCTGGATCAAAAAAAAAAATCTCTGTTTGATGACCTTTCAAAGCGAAAAAATCAAGGCATTCTTCATATTGCACCCCTGTACCAGTGGCTACCGAGGGGGGGGGGGGGGAGGAATATAAAAGATTTCTTCGGTAGTGTGGCTAGCGCCAGGATGGAGGACTAGGTTTCGCCGATGGAGGGTCCCGCGTGGATTCATTGCAGGAACGCATCTCCGCGCATATGCAAGGGTGCGTATTTGTTTCAAATGAGCGAGGAGACCGCCCGTTTTCGACGACGTATAGTCCTCTACCGCGCCACGCCCCCTTCTTCTGAAATTTCAGGGTGAGAGGCCCGCAGAAATTTCGGGAAGCATACCAAGAGATTTTTCAAAGTGCTTGGCTAACCTCACGCACCCTTCATAAGAAAAAAAATTTTTGTCCCCCTCCTCTTGAACGGAAACCCTGGTACGCCATCGCCCTGTACCACTTATTTTTCGCTCTTTGTCACACTAGTACCACTCCACATGTAAACTTACTGTAAGATGTAAGCTCAGCATTCACCTAAAGGCACAGTTACCCCTTCACTTTTGTAGGTCGTAAATAGCCGAAACCCCTTCACCTGGAGGGGACCCTGCTCTCTCTATCGCATCCTATGGGTTCCGCTACACCCCGTTGATTAACCTTGAAAGTATTTAAACGTATGCGTTGTGTATCGTTAGAAGCGCTAAACCTTATTCTCTTAAGGACAGGAATTTCATCTGTCGTATCTCCTAAAAAATGATATGCGCGTTTTTCATTCATTGTGCTCATGGCATATACTGGGTTACAGTAGCATTCTGAGCCTGCGCCATTAGATACATTGCAAGAGAAGGCAGCAAAAATATATACATGTATATTCGATAACCGAAAACTCGTAGCTTTCAAAGGAGTCCTGAGTCGTCTACTTCAATCTGAGTGATAGTTGCTGAAAGTACAACCATTGCAAGCGAAAAATGGGACACACAAAATCGTGACTAGCTTCTAATATTAGAGTTTGGTAATTAAAGTGAGATTCTTGAGGTGGACAAAGAGTAAGCAGAGCTTTGCATTGAGTGCAACAAAAAATAGCTAGCTCACGCCAATCTCATCCTGCTTCGCTACCCCGACTCGTGCTAGCAGTGCATATGGGCTGAGTCTCCAAGAAGTCTCTAGAAGCTAATTTTATCAAAAGATAATGTACAAAAGAATTGGAAAAGGAAATTCAATCAACATGCAGTCGAATTACATACAAAACGAAACGCTTTTCACTGGTAGGCTGAAGAGATTAGATTACTAACGATGCTGATAAATCACCTAGTACTTGCGAAAATAATGGAGCCAATCATTGATCAAAAATAAAAATATTGCGACCATTACCACAAGGACAATTCATTCATATCTTCGCCATTGAACAACTTGAAGTATCCGAGAAGTGCACCAAAGCTTACAACATTTGCCATATATATTAACACCACTGATGACCCGGCAATCTGAAAACGGCAGTCTAATGATGCACCTTTACGCAGATGGTTAAACACTGTAAAACGCAATCTGAAAAACTGTTCAAAATTTTGCTCTTTTTGACTCTTTTCTCAATGTTCTCAGAGTTGGAGCAAAGCAAGTTACAGAATGACCATGCAACAACGACACAAGCCATGCATCATGACAGATGGCTTATAGACTGTTGATCAAAAATCCATGCATAGAAGCGGATTAACTAACAAAGTATACGAAAACCAACCACAAAACTTGTAAAAACCTACATTAGTACGCAGGAATTTCAGAATTTCCATCACATTGTGGCACAACATTACGTACACGATTAGAACAGCGATTGGCTCCAACTGCCGGAGTCTTCGTCACGATGCAGGTAGAAATAGGCGACAATCGTAAGAAACATCACAACAGATCCGGTGTTCACCAACATCATCGCAGTGACTTTGATCTACAACACAACAACCACATTCGTCGTTCAATATTGTGCAGACTATGAAGACTACTTGTAGATGGATTTAGCATGGAAATCAAGAGAGGCAAACTGAAAACTAGAATATATCACTATAAAGATATTCTGGCCCATTTCGAACCATCCCTTCTTCGCAAATTTTGGAAACAATCTCGAATTGTAGCAAAATGGAATTGTAGCCACTTTACCTACTCAAAATGTCATCAGCGAATGAGACTCTCAAAAAATACTTTTTTTTTTCTAGTTTTAGTTTCGTAGTTCTTTCTTATATTGACTTTAAGAAAGTAGAGCAAATATGTAATATAGAAGGGAAACCAAAGATTATTCTCCGAAAACAATGACAACTTTGCTCAAACTGGACCTCAGACCTTCAGAAAAACCAAAATAGTATGTTGAGATCAGATCGTTTCTTTCACGTGTGGTATTCACCAACCTAACAGTCTAGTTCCAGATACACCTGTATCATAATTCAAGCAGAATTAGAACGTCATACATTGCATTTTACTACAGTGTAAATACTTTCCCATTAAAACTGTGTATCAGATGCTTTTCTGGCTATAGCTCACGGCCTCGCGCGAAATTCGCATGGTATTCGCGGATAGCAGACATTTCTGATGGATACAAATCCGGTTAAAAAGAGGAGATAACTGTGATAAAAACTCTGATTAGCTGGCAGTGACAAAACTTGATCTAAACGCGAAAGATTGCGTTGATGAGATTGGCCATAACCGGCATTTTAGCAAACTTTGGCATCAATTTCAGCATAAAGACGAATTCTAGCACAGGAGTGGAATTAGAAGGACTAATTGGTTTCAAAGCATTATGTAATCTTATCAAGCGTTCTTCTGCTTTTTTAGATGGTCTCTCGATATTAACATGCTTAGCTCACACTTTTTCATACTCCTGCTTATAAAACAATTCTTTCCAAGATACGGGGAAAAGTGTGCGTTCCACTCTATCACTCACTTGAATTTACATCGCATCTTAGGGCATCGCATAAAATGAAAACTGTAACATGCACAAAAATACATGTGAATAACATATCTTCGATAGACTGTACAAAGCACCATGCAAAACCATAATGCTTAACACTCTCTATTTGAGCAAGCGCTGTAAGTAAGGTTGGGTAAGGGTGAAATGCATCCATGACACGGATCAAATTAGCACATGCTACAGGGCATTGTCAAGTTAATGGTGATAAAATTGTAGATTACAGAAAATGAGCTCTCACTAATAATTTTTGGAAATGTTATTATGGCTACTGATTGTCATAAAAACAAGTAAGTCTAGCTACTCCCTGCACAAACAATAAAGATGAGATTCTAAAAAAAAATCGAAAAGCGGTCCCATCTTTGCTCATGAATTTAGGTTCAGAATGTCCAAAGAAAGCCAAAAAGAGGAAAACTCACAGTTCCAGCATGTGCAAGAACAGTAGGTAAAGCAAAAGCCGATACGACTATAATTGTTGTGATAAATAACGCCAATTCAACGCACGCGTTAGTCCCTGAAACATACAATCAATAAGCACAACGTAGATTTCGGCAGCAAAGGGTGTACAAAATACCTGTCATATCTTCTTGGAACCGTCTAGCTATCATAAGTGGCACTGGCGACAATATATAGAATGCAATAACAAACATTGGAGACCAGTTCCTAAAAAAGTATACTGAGCAAACTCCACTGGGACTAAAACATTCACTCCCCAATGTTTAGAAAAAATGTCTAGGAAAATGCCAATCAATAAAAAGAGCATAACTCACCCGAACATAGGAAGAGCACATCCCAAAACGAGTAATGTCAGACCAAGCACCCCAGCAAAAGCCAACGCGGCGACCGCTGCAACAGCATTCATCGAAATGAGAACCAGTCGATGCTAGACCTCCACTTGTTTGCCCAGTGATATCACTGCATTCGATTTGATTTTTGCAAAGAACATGTGCGATGCCTTATTAATCACCGATTTCTACTGCAAAGAACGTGCTAATCTAGCACTCCAATCAGTGGAAAATTAGTGACTAATTCTGGCAATAGAACTTGTGTCAATTTTTACAACACCACGCTGAGTCACATGTGATTTATCATCTGAACAAGCCAACTCTTTGAAAGTCTTCAGAACTAGCGAAAAAATAGCACGAATGGGAAAGACAACGTCTATCATATTTTATAGTGGATTTGAACGGCAATATATATGGCCCTATGCTGAAGACAATAGTTGCTTGGACAGAACCTTTGTGAATACCATTACATCTTCGTGAGACTTGAGCGTAAGGCACATGCCATAGTTGTTCCACTTCCGCTTGATCCGCTTCACTATGGACAAATCAGTGAAATAACCAATAGCGAAGCGGATGTCCTTTGGATCACTTGATCCCTTTCATCCTCTTCGCTGTTGTCAGTTCACTGATTCAATAGCGTAGTGGATCAAGCGGATCAAGTGGATCAAGTGGATCAAGTGGATCAAGTATGATGTGTGCCTAACAGTTCGAAATTGCAATCGTCATTGTTTCAATGTCGGCAAAGACTGCGATTGCTAGGCTTACACGAAAACAAGTCTGAGCACAAAAGAGCCATGTTGTTTCCCGCTCAGCAAAACGTAGGATATACCTTATCATTATGTGTCATTTGAAATACCCCGATAAGTTCGAAAAAGGCATACTAGTTTACTTAAAAGAGGCCACTCATAATGAAAAAGTTTGAGAAAAACAATCGTCTAGTTCAAGCTCGCACATCGATCCTGAAGAAAGAAAGAAAAAAGTGTTAGAATGACAAATTTTTCAAAAAGATTAGGATATCGCTCTAACGCAAATGTTGCAAACTAAACCAATCTCCCAAAGTGATCAGTATAAGCGTACCTCTCACTCCTCCCATGATTATGAGCACAGTATGAGGCGAGGAGTAGTTGGCCGCCTACAAAAACATCGATTCTTGAGTAAACAGTTTCTTATGAAAAGCACGATAAAAGCGACCTTATTACCAAAAATCCGACGAAACAGGAGTTGTTACAGGTCAATTCATAATCAAAAAAATGTGTGAGGAGACACAACATTTAACCAAGCTTCCATGGTTGATGCTTTGCATCTATCTTATATCATCATCGTCTATCATTCTATCATCTATCGTCTGCTCAACTTGCAAAGAACTAGTACAGTCTGACAACTGTCAAATCAGCGATGGCGAAACCTACACACATTTTATGACAAAGCTCAAATCTAAACGCAGTAGGACGTTTGACAGAATTTCTTGCGAATGAAAACACCGCAGCCCTACGGCGTCCACCACGAGTGGTGTTCCATTGCGTACAACCAAAGTTATCGTAGAAAATATGACTTTCGCCTCCGATAAACTACGGCAAAATCAGTGTTTTGCACATTCGCAACCCAAGCGGGATGGAGAAAGTTCATTCGTCAGCTTTTAAACAACATGAGGAACAATTCCCCGACATAAGCCTACGGCTTTGGCCATACTTTGCCCGTGTTGCCGATGTTACCAACTGTATTATAGATCCCAACTGGTCATCGACTTGGAACAGTAGTCAGAACCAGGTGCAGAGGGATTGCGCAGCTGCTGTGACTGCACAAACTTCGCTAAAAATGTCTCGCTGAAGTTGTCCTTCAGAAAGGATGGAAATCAAATGGTGCGCACTTGCATATGCTGAAACTGAGAATTCAAAAAAGTACTCAAAGTTGAAGTTCAGTAATCATAATGAACCAATCACGATCAAAATTGGGATTTCTATGTTTTCGAGGTCCTCCATTTCATTAACAAAGTCTGTTTTGCGTAAAAGGCCAGGACACAATTACGAACAAACTTTAAACATCAGAATTTAGCATTTTGAACTGGAGACGCCTGTTCTCAAACTTACATCAGTGGGATAAAACTAGAGACTTGCCTGTACTTGAACACGGTGCATGTACTCGATTACATGTTTTCCCTCTTCCGCGTTGCAAGGTTATGACCTCATAAAGGTTTCCTTCGAGCAGAATGCCGCAGGCGCATTAAGGTTCTAACCTACTTTTTATGTAGTCATGACTAGTTGACTATCACTGATTCGGAGACGCCTCATGATTATCCATATTTATTATCAAGAATGACTTGACTACAGTTCTCTTGGCTACAAGCTATATACTTGTTGGAGCGACCTTGTCAGTCACATATCCATAAATGATTAGTGATGTCGTATAAAATGTCTATGTGTACTGGTGAACTCGTTATCTAACCATTCACTTTGAACATTTTGCTGAACTTGAACTTAGGTTTTGAAAAGTTGTTTGAAAAAAGTGCTTTTTGTTTTTTGTTTTGCGAACAATCATAGCTATGCAGAAGAGCAACCTCTGTCAAGTCCAAGAGGTGCACTCTCTTGACTTGAATCCTTCACCCTGATTGTCTCACTTTATATGAACATGACATTATGACTAGAATCTTTATTATATATTTATAAGTAGAATGAGAGGGGAAGGGAAACCGCCGGTCACCCGGTTAGGCACAGCTCATCTGGAGTTGCTGGGGCACCGCCCAGTTGGCGTGGGGACTGTCGGACCATCTAATTAGTCTGCGTCTCGAATAGTCTGCGTCTCGACATGTCCATTCCATAGTAAAGCTCGTCCCGAGCTTTCATCTTTGACCATGGCTCAAGAGTAGGTAATCGTCATCAAAGCTGCCCATGTACCATTTGCTTCATCGCTGCTTTGTTTGAGTACAGGAGGTTGCTGCTGCTACCATTATCGTCATCAAGGTTGCCCATTTACCATTTGTTGTCACTGACTGCGGGCAGGAAAGGTGTTGTTGATCGCATCATTGCTCAGTCGCTTGATTTCTCTTCGAATGCATGTGGACAGGGGGAAAAGGGCTCATAGGAAAAAACGCGGCTTTCGCACGCCCTGTCAAAAGAAGAGCTCGTCTCGAGCTGAAGAGTAAGCAGAGCAAAATAAGCTTGCAATTTGGATAATTACCAAAGGATAACGCTTCCGCAATTGTTCCGAAAGGTGGATCAGAGCGATAATGATGATATCAATACAGCGTAGATGGGTGGGCTCTCTATCCGAGCTGAGAGAACGAGCATTGCAATGATAGTAAGGATATGGTAGGAGCGGTATAAAAGACGAATTGGGATATGTTTAAAAGTTCTGATATGTGGTGACGGGGTTGGCGTGAATATTGAAGAAATAAATATACTTGAAAATATGCATACAACAATTTTAAATGCAAAAAAATCGCCAATTGACCGAACGTTCAAAATTTTGACGTTTTGAAGATTCGTCGTTACAGCCAGAAAAAATTAAAGGCAACAAAACATAAAATTTTCGGAAACTATCGTGTGGGCAACTCATGAGGGAACACTTCCCTAACGTTGCGCACAAGGGCGTGAGGTAAAATTTTGAATGACTGAAAGGCTTCTCCGAGTCGCCTATCTGAGAAGTCTTTTTTGTTATAGTGCAGACGCTTGCGGCAAACTTACTCTGCCAGTAGCCGCTGCGTATGTGGAATTAATGTGAGTTTGCTACTGGCACTCAAAATATCCAGTCTTTTCAGACGCTCTGAACATCTGATAGCAAAAACAATTGCAATACAAAGGTGAACACAGTTGCAATGGGGCATGTGCATAGTTTCTGTCTCTCTTAGATGCTCTGAACATCTGAGTGTGGACTGAAACTCGAACAGGGTACGAATAATAATAGTATAATAGCGGTGAATACACTCGAAATGGGAACACTGACGACATGTAGGCGAAAATAAACAAGGATTTCAATGGAGCAGTTATTTGGAGATATCAAGTAGGAAGCAATCTTTCTTCGGGTGGTTGTTTACTTCTTAGTCTTGCTTCCGCTTATCTGAAAGTCTGTCGCGAACGTACTAGACGCTTCAGGTAAACTCATGCAGGCCCTTTATCTGGTACAATACAAGGAGAAAAGTACGGGTTTGACTCCAGCATAAGAATTTACCATTGTGATAAGCCATTCAACCGAAAAAGTGCAAGCGAAGCTATTAATTTTGGAATAGAAAAATGGAAACAATGGAAATGACCAAGTTTTTTCAAACTATGGCTGGTTTTTATGCAGATATTTCGAAGCGCGGAGATTTTTTTTTGAATATTCTTCACATTTGAAAGGTACTTTCCTTTTTTTTACGCCCAACAATTTGTTCTGGAAAGATTACCTCGAAAACGGTCGTAAGGCGAGCTTTCGCCCCTCAGAAACATACGTCTTGCTGGACGTATCAATTCGCATAGCTAGTTGCTGCATAATTTAACTTACTTATGTATATCTAATATTGCCGAGCCTGGCTATTTTCTCTAATATGAGATGGGAAGCTGCGGAACATTTTGCGTTACTCTACTGTTTAATTACTGGAAGTTCATGAACGTAGATTAGGTGTGAGGATCGAGCCGAAAAATACTCCAAAGCACACAGGTTTGGTTTTTTTTGAATGGATATCTGGTGGTCTGGGTTTTTAATTCGAAAATCTGAATGGGAGCTGTTGCGTGAAAAATGATGTGTGCAAGAATTACTTTTGACGAATGGACGGCGTTTTTGACGATCTTCGACTTAACTGTGTAGAATAGACATGTTTTTTTTCATGAACGATGAGTAGAAGGGAGAAAGGGTTTCCTCTATGAAATGAACGATTGTTTTGATACATCTCAAAGCATAAGTCATTAGTGAGCGCTTTATGACCTTTTTCAAGCTTTTCATGCTCCTCATATTTTTTTTCGTGATGACATGAAGAAGAGTGTTGAAAACAAGCTACAGTCGTGCTAAATGTCCGAATGGCTACAAATAGTTGAGCATGTGCGTAATTTAGATGTTAAAATGCAATCTTTTTTTTTGAGTTACGCCGACAATCTTTTCTATTGGTTTTGACGCTACTAGGTCCACCGTGTATGGCATGATTTTCTACTTAAGCAACTAGTCTACTGTAGCCTCTTCCAATTCCTTCCAAAGAAGGCCGAAGCTGTCGGGCCAGGCTAGAGCGCTTTTATGAGATAACAGAGATACGAAACATTATTTTAGTTCATAGTATTACGTCAAAAATGCAGAAATGAATTTTTTTTTGACGAAGTCGATGCTCAGAAAATGGTCAAATAATTTGCTTGACTTACAAAAGTCTGCAGTGCTTTCCTTCACAATTAGTGGCATTGCGAATGAATCAGTATTGTGTAGTCATTAGTTTTTGTGATATGAACAGCAAATTTATCCAAACGATGAGCGTATAGCAGCGACTGGCTTTTGAAAATAGCTGTGATTTTGTCCGTAATTAATGCAAATACTACATAGTAGACGTCTGCTTTTTCACAGAAGGATTTTGCTACTCATGAACAAAATATCGGATTGTTGAGCATCCCTTTTTTTTAAATGTAATTATGAGTCCGCTCATACAAAATGAACTCGTAAGAAAACTAAGAATTTATTTGCAAAATTCAAATGTGCCATTATATCGTACAGCGGAATTCTCGGACGGTAAGAATAATCAAAAGAGCAACAAAAATTGGTTTTTTTTCAGTAATTTTTTTTTAGCTCCAGCTCTACCTAGAATCGCAAAAGGCTGTCCAAAGTCCAGAATGGAGATGATTTGGTTGCTGGAGATCGTGTTAAGATGTGCTCATAGATAGAGCAGGAAAAAAATTTTTTTTCATATTTTCTCAGCTTTATCAGAAATTCCCACAAACTAGCAGATGGAACTGCAGCAAGGTTATGAAAGGACTATATGATTTGCGAAGCGATGATGGAAGGTTTTACATTATGCAATTCAATAGTGCCATCTTATGTCTTGAAAGAGGACAAAAGTACGTGAGAAGTCGAAATGATTGAAAACTGGTGCAAACAACTGTTTTTTGTTTTTCAAATAAATAAATTTTCAAAGGAAGATGGCTAGAATAGTGCATGGCTAGAATGCAGATGCAGATCTTTTGA